TCTTTGCTCCTTCGTTATATCGTGAATGATGGGCCTCAAGCCAGTGATTTATGGACGAGATACTTCCGTGGATGACTCCTCTAAGTAACTGCTCTCACCTTTGACACGCGCTGACTTGGACTCGAACTTGATCAGTAGCGACATTTTGTGAAATGCCGCTCCCTGTTCGTTTCACCTGAAATGCGCAATATGAGGAAAATGACTAAAGCAAAGTGCTTAAACGAGCTGGATATTTTATGGATTTCACGGCAGTATAAATCACCGCTGCTTGAACAAAATCATAAATTCAGAAGCAACTGAAAGCTACTATCGGATCCGAACCCAACAGAAGCTTTTAAATGACAGCAAAATATCGGAAGAAGTTAGCAAGAATGAGAAAAGAACAGCAACGTTGGCAGTCCTAAGTTACAGTAATCAGTGGACACGCACACGGCCGCTCGCCAAGCAACGCAACGACGGTGGAGCGCACTTGTTGAAAAATTATAACCTTCCCTAGGCGAGCTCACAATTTGGCGATTTTCATGACTAGTTAAAAGGAATCTACTAAAAGTACCTATGAGAAGTTCGCCAACGGATCTTGGAGAACGGACATGAGACGGAGTCAATTCAATCGATGTGCACCTACCTAATCCCTACCGAAATAGCGTGGTAGTAAAATCTTCGGTTCGATGCATATAGCTCATTCCAGCAGGATCGTTGCTGCTTGAAACATTAGCGATGAACACTGCCTCAAGATACAACACAGTAAAAAACCTGGTCCCCGTTCTACAAGCTGGTAAAGACTTTCCGTAGTGGTCAGCCCAAATGAGTGCTTTTAACTTTCCCCTAGTAGAGCCTAAGAGACGGATGGACGCTGTGCCGAAATACTGATGTGAACCAAACCAGCACTTATATTTGTGAGGTCAAACCATAAGGTAGGTGAACGGACTCGGATGGATTCAGTGACCCAAGACAGCAGGTGGGGCTGCAAACATATCATCCTGTTGCACCATGTTATCTGCGAGTGCGGTGCTTACCACATTCCTCACATCAACAAAATTTTTCTTTATTTATTTCAATACACCTGAAGGTGTGTAGCCGCGTGAGGAATATCCTGTAGGGAAAATAATGCAAGGGTAAAAGATGAAAAGCATGACAATTTTCGGAATACGCCATGCTTTTGACTTATTTCCGAAATGATGGGGAGGTGAATGTTCGCTTTACTCATACAATGGCTTCAGGGAAAAATCGAAGCGAGGGAGCAGCATCCAGGGCAATCCACTCGGTGAAATTCGGGTTCGGGCGACGGCGCGGCGTTCTGTTCATCTGCTCCTCCAGGTAGTTTGGGGCAGAACACCTCTATGAGAATCTGACAGTGTTCTATTCCTATTTGATATTTTATTGATAACAGTGAAATATGGGCTGATGTTAAGAGAGGAAGGGTCAGTCTCCGCCATTACGAT